CTCTATAGTCCAATTTTTGGTTGCCCTGGTCGTGCTTCTGCTCATGTGCATCAGTACCAGTCTGGACAGCACCCACTGGACCTTCACTGCCCTCCCAGTGCCTGTAGAACCTCCTCACTCCCACTGTGCAGCCACAGTGCCACTCTCCTGTCACCCCACATGTCCTGCACTCCCACTCCAACTCTTCTGCTTCCTGTGCTTCCCCAGGTCTGCCTGACTGCAGGAGCACTCACCTGACTGGAAGGAAATCTCGCTCATCATCATCCAGGTGTCAGCAAAGTAGAAGCGGCACAGGATGGCCTTGCCCACGCGCTGCTGCAGGGGCACAGTCACAAACCTGGCACTGGGGTTTTTGTCATCCAGGACCGTGGCCACCCCCACGGGCTCGGGCTCCCAGTCTGCAATCAGGCGGGGTTTGAACAGACACTCCACCCTCTGGAAGATCTTCACCCCCTTGGAAAACATGTTGTTACAGTGCACCTGGGGAGAGGAGAACAGATCCATCAGAGAGGAGATTTACCTAAATCCATTCCCAGTATCTCCCTGTATGAATGTACAATGAGTGACTTCTTCCAGTGTGCAATGAGAACACTGGGCAAAAAGCTGCTCTGAAACAGCTCTGAATTTTACCTGCAAAAGCTAAATTAACGGTCAGATTCTGGCAGGCTTCAAAGGCCCATGTAAAAACCAATCAAGCAAATCCTGTACTAATCTAAAGCCTTGCAGACTATTGTGTTTGAATATTTAACCTAAGAAGGGAAAGAAAAAACACACCTAAACTCTTAGTGTTAAAAATTTGGTATTACTTGAATTGCTTGACATAAGTAGCTGGAATTGTTAGGACACAAGTTGAACTTTATCTGAACTACGTGGCTCTGTTCTGCAAGTCAAAGATGGATTAGAGTGAACCCTGGAGTTAATAATCTGATAATTAATAATAGTAAAGACGGATTGTAGTGAAACTTGTATGTAACAATCTGATCATTAATTATAGTTAGATTAGACAAAGCTGCAGCTTAAATATTACTCAAAGATCAACAGCTGGAGTGGACAGCCCATAGATTGTGCTCTGTGAACTGTAACAACCATGTTAAAAAATGAGCTACTGAACCCACCAAAACCCCCACAGAAACCAGTCTCAGAGGCCAATGTGGAAACAATGACATAAGAGCCATTTGGAAATGAAAGACTGGAGCAATGAAGGGCATGGAGGACCCAGACAATAATACTGCTCTTGGATTCTTCTTCTGTCCCTCTTGGCATGAGGGATCCCAGGGATTTCTTTGTCCTTGGTCCCTCTTTTGAGGCACCAGCCTGAGCTATGACATATCACAATTGATCTTTGCCATTAGATGAGAATTGTGTCCCAAAATTCTTAGCATTTAGAAACTCTTAGCAGCTGCAGTCTAAGCTAATTCTTTCCAAAAACCAGAAACCAGGACAAACCCAAGCAGATATTCCCCTGGCATACACCTGCTCTGATTATACCTTGAAAGATCTGAGTTTTAGGAAAAACCTTCACCTCAGCCTGCATCCATCAGCCTCTCCTGGTGCTCAGCATCAGGCTGAGTTCTGTTACAAAGACCTGAAGCTCAGCACCACAGTATCTCAGCACTGGCCACTGACCAGGAACCAGAAGAAATAAGGTGACTCAAAGTCTTCAGTATCTCTCAGCCTGCCCCACTCTCACAGCCACAATGGCCCAAACCCCCCAGAGACCCCAGGAATCGTTTCCTAATGACTGTGGAGTATTTGCCACTGTGACAGCAACAGTTTCCAAACCACCTACAGCCTTGAACCTTCTTAATTGCTTGGTCTCTGCCAGGTCCTGCAGTGAAAAGCAGTGAAGCACTAATGAGGGCAACCAGCCTGACAAGCAACAAAAAGACAAAAGGAGGGTATTTGCATGTAATTAGGAGCAGATGAAGCTTAGACAACATTATTCAGTAAGGAGAAACAGTCATTCATAAGCAGGCAGGAAAGCCTGATGCCTGGAATATACAATTTGTGCCGTATTTGGACAGGAGTTGGATGTGTTTCCATCCTGGACTGACACAGACATTTTCTATTGCAAACATCTACTCAAGTCCAATGTTACAGCATGCAAGCCTATGCAATGCAGTTGCAATGTTGCTAACAGTTATTTTTAATACTTTCATGTCCAGGGGATACTGGGAAAGCTCAGAGGACTGGGATAAAGCTAATGGCTAAGAGGAAGCAAAAATTATTCACAGACCACCTGGCCTGTACAAAAGAAATGCAAAGCTGAAGGAGGCAACATTCAATAAACAGATTAATTTATGCTAATCAGAACAGCTTTTTAATTAGATGCTAGATGAAGTAGCTCTTCTTATGATCTGATGTGTTTGGTTTATCAGGATGGTTGTGTTTACAAGACAGTTTTTTTGGAAGGCATCTGTTCCCAATTAGCATAGTGTGGGCTTGTGTATTATATTAATTTGATTAAACGTTATCAACTAGTCAGTCTAACAAATTTTAAAGGCACAAATTCTTCTCTGTTTTTCTAAGAGGAAAATGCATTCCTAAATCAAAAATATTTGCTACTTTTTTCAATGACCAGAGGGAGACAGCAGAATCACTAGCAATAAAATAAACTAAATGGGAGGGAGTTTCCTAAAATAATCTCAAGGACTGACTCATGTAAGGGTAGTGAACTCAGGGACAAAATCTAAGTGATGCTTTCCACACTGGATTTTTATCCTGGACACTAATAACTTGGAACTGATTTTTAGCATGATCCCAAAGCCTTAATGACCACTGGCTCCCTCCCTCTTGGCTTGGAGGATTAATACCATCACAAGATTCACAAACAAAGTGGAATCATCCAAAAGCAGGAAATTGGTACCATTCTTTTATGCAATTTGATGGAAAGCCTGCATGCAGATCCAGATTCTGTGCCTCCAAAAGAGTAATCAGCAAAGAAGGAAAGGATTGGGTGACAGCACCAAAAATGACCCTTGGTCTCACAGGGAAGGCATTGAGAAGCCTGCCAGCATAGTTTACTGAAGCAAAGATTAAGAGAGTGCTTTAATCATGGTTTAGAAGCAGAAGATTTCTGAGAAGGCAGGACTCTTATTTTTGCCAGCAAAAGCAGGCAAAGAGCCAACAGTTGCAAGTTAAAAATAGACAAAATAAAACCAGAGTAAGTAACCACCAAAACAATTTACTTAAGGATGTGGTGGGTTCTCCTTCATTTGAAATCTCTACAATAAAAGCCACCAAACCTTTTTAAAAGATCCTGCTGTTTACTACAGACTCAAAGTTCAGCTCGTGCTTTTCCTGTGTGTTCAAATAACTTCCCACAGCACAAGAGAAATGTTTGGTCAAAAATGGAAGCACAGCCACATTCCTTTACCTCAGGGGTCAGTAAATTCTACATCCTAAATCCATCTCAGCTGCCTAAACACTGCTTCAGGTGTCTGCTTTTTATTCCTTCAAGCCAAATACTGCAAGGAGTGTCTGAGCTCTGAAGAAGCAAGTGCTCACCTGCTTCATCTTTCTACACTGGAAAACTTGCTCAAATTCTGCTGTCAGGCAGTTCCTGAATGCTCTTGTTTTGGGAGGAGTATTCAAGGCCAGGTTGGACAGGGCTTGGAGCAACCTGGTCTAGGGAAGGTGTCCCTGCCTGTGGAAAAGGGTGCAACGAGATAAGCTTTAAGGTCCCTTCCAATCCATTCAATGCCCAAAAGGGGCAACCTGGAAGCCCCCAGAGCCAAAGCCTGTCCCCGTGGAGAGGGACCACGCTGATTTACCTTCATGGAGGTGAAGTTCCGTGGGCGGTCAAACTGGAACTCCATTTCCACCGCGCCCGTGCTGAAGCTCTCGTTCCTCCAGCCAACGTAGTCATAGCCCGGCCACACACGGTACTGGTGGCTCTGGGTGAAGTCATCCAGCCCCAGCACTCCATCTGTGAGCTGGCCCAGCCCTCCATACAGGTGCCTGGCAATGGGGAACCAACAGTCAGCCAGAGCTTGTCCCAGTTTACACTGTGCCCAAAGATGTGCCCAAAAGTCTGGATTCTGTCCCCATCTGTTAAAGCAGCTATGGCAGTGATCCTGATCTCTGGGGGAGATCTCCTCTGTTCATGTTCCAGCTGTTCACCCAGCTGTTGCAGTGTTCTTTATCTTGCCCACAGCCCATCCTCCCTCCAGGAGATCTCTCCTGTTCATGGCCATGCAGTCCCAGGGCAGGGCTGATCAAATTCCATCATCCCATTGGGAGATGCTCCAGCCAGGGCAGGAGCCGAGCATTTCCTACCCAGATCAAAGGGGAGATTGGGAACAGCAGAGCAGCCTTTTCCCACTGGATCCCAGAGGACAAGAGCTCCCAGACCTTTCTGCAGGATCCCCACTTCAACAAGAACATTTCATCTGGACTGCTCCCACCACCCTAACTAGCAGGGTGTCAGGTTGTATTCTGACTCTGGCAATGCTTTTCTTTTCTACTATTGCATATATTTTATTTTTTTCTCCTTTTTCCTATTAAATTATATTTCTGACTTGGAGTCTCTCAGTGGTTTTGCTTTCAAACCAGTACAGAGTTCCAGTGGGAAACCATGTGCATCTCTCCCCTGGTACAAGAAAAACATCAGTTTTCCTACTCTTGACCCACCCTCAACAAGGACTCATTCACTGATCTTATGCAGCACCACCTTGATGTTGTTTGGGCTGGGATTTTAGAGTCATTCCCAGCTTGGGAAAAGGCAGAAGTTTTTGCACTGGTGTCAAGGATCAACAGCAAAGCTGAGTTACAGGCAAAGCCTCTAGAGAACAAAAACAGACACTCTGGAAAATGACACTGTGTGTTCTCCCAACAGCTGGAACTGCAGCATCTCACCATGCAGCTGCATGGCAGGAGCACTGCTCCACCCTGTGCTGGGGGAAGCTCTGGGGAGAGTCCTGCAGGCAGGCACAGAAAGGCAGGAAAGCACAAAGTGAGACCATGGGCAGCTGATGAGCCACAGCCAGGTTTAACCAGGATCATTTCTGGCATTGCTCCTAAGAGAAAATCATTGGACTCTGTCAGGACCCTGTCTCATTCCACTCCTATGTGAAGGTGCAGAGCCCCTCAGAGTTTTCCAGCACTGTTCCAGAGTAGAAGCTGCCAGTGTGGAACAATTCTGACCCCCTCTGCAAGTCCTTGGCTCTGTAAGTCCATCCCAGCTGAGCCCTCCTGTCACTAGAGCACAGGTACACGTGCCTTTGAACTGCAAGCCAGGATTAACAGCTGGAAGAGCAGACTCCTGCTTCCAGGCCAGTCAGGCACATGAAGCAGAGGTTAAGTAGTTATAAAGAGTCCTGGCTAAGCAGGTTGGGTTTTGTGCCTACATCTGCAGCTCCCTGACACTCCCCAGCAGGTTCCTAAATTATTGCTGGACAGCTATGTGTAACACCTACTCTGTACATAAAAACTTTTTTTTTTAAACATCCAAGCTCTACTGTCTCAGCCCAGCTTGAAACCATCAGATATTAATGTATAAAGACATTGTTACCCAGCATTCTTCCAACATTCTACAAGCACGAAGAAGTGTTGGAGATACCAGATACCAGTGACAGGGTGAGTAGGAAAGAATTTGCACAGTGACAGAGAACAGGACAACTTCTCCCACCTGCGTTCATGGTAGCCATCGTAGGTAGAGTCATTCAGATAAACAATGGGGAAGCCAGGAGCTGCTATTGTCCCTCCTTCAGGGATGCTGTAGGATGCCAAACCATCTAAAAAAAGAAGGCCACACACCTCAGAAACACAGGAGCAGCCTCCTGTCACCTGTGTCCATGTACCTTTTTATTTGATACATGGACCAACAGGAGCAGTTCCATGGGCTGGGGGCTCCCTCTGCACACGTGGGGATGAAGGGAGCCCCAGCCAGGTGTCAGTGTAAAGATGTGCCCAAAAGTCTGCATTCTATCACCATCTTCATGAGCTGTTGAAACCAGTAGGGGCACTGTTTTCCTTGCCTATCTCCTGTTAATGGGCCCATCATGACTCATAGATAACTCCCTCCAGGAGCCATTTCTGTTTCAT